CCCCCCCCCCCCCCCCCCCCCCCCCCGTATGAAACTGGAGAAAACAAGAGCAGAGAACAGCAGAAGTGGATAGTCTTTCAGCTCTACATAAAATAGGCTGAATTGTGGCAGTCATCAGTATCTGATTGCGACTAAAACCTTCCCTCTGGTTTTGGTGGGACCTCAAGCTCAGTGAGTAGCAGAGCAGTTCCATTTCTTGTCCTCTGTCAGGGATCTAACTGAACTGCGTTTCAGAAAGGCATGGCATTGGAAACACTCCAGTCCACTGAGCCGCTCTGACCTCTAACTGTTGCGGTAACTCTATATGACTCACTTGTGACATTGATCTGAACGCTACAAACCCTTTCCTGTTGGTTTGTGGTAAAAAATCTTAACCCGTTGATGGCTAATGACATGGTGCAGAATGGAATACAATTTATGGTGGTAGCATAAGAACACCAAAGCACTTCACAAAGCAAACAAGTTAGTAACTGAGAGAGCTGAGTAACCCACATGTGCTTCATAATAGCGTGCGGAGTCTGCCTGGTTGAGAGAGGGAATGTTGGCCTCGACAAAAGGCTACTCCTCTATTCCTTTTGAAAGGTGCCTCTCTTTATAGTCATCTGCACTTTGACTAAACGAACCAGTAACTCCAGTGCAACTCCCCCCGGCAAGCTATAGGAACGGTAAGAGTCAAGCATCCATACCCCTGAGCTATCTAACCATACTGCAAAAAGGGTTAGATGAAATGATACAAATGTTTACCCCACCATGACCAAGGTTGCTCATTTAATCATACGAATTTATAATATACATATATATCATTATATATATACACACATAATCATGAGTACAACTTCACTGCCTTATAACGGGAAAATGGTTAGAGTAATTTTTTAGTGGAACTATTCACAAGAACCTTCTCCTTTCTCTCATTTGCTGGATGCAGTGAGATTCAAAACCCTGCTGCTTATGCTATCATGGTAGTTTTTTCTCCCTTTGTTCTTTGTCTTCAAAGTATAACAATGGGATCGGAATATAGTAATAGGATGAATTTAGTTGACTGGGGTTTCAAAGAATCAACTTTCCATGCTGTGCTCCGTGGAAGGTTCACGAAATTAGGATACATACACATGTATCTCTAAGTAAGACCTTTCAACTTGGAAAGGAAACAAACTTATGTAAAACATCACCGCTTAGATTTTAAACAAAGAGGATGTGCTCTGACCTGTGTAAGTAGAGTATTTACAGTTCTAAGCCAGTATGATATATGTCTCTTACAAATAATAAATAGAGGTTGAGTGTTGAGCTATAGGATTCATAAGGCTAAACTAATAAAAGCAATAGTCTTTATTGACTAAAATGCGAAAGTTTTATACTTGGGCCATATTCCCAAAATAAATTTACTGGAAAATAAATGCAAAGTGATTCAGATATTGTTATAAAACCATTTTTATGTGCGCAGAAGATAGAGCTGTTCCAGCTTTCCTAGAAATTCCAACTCCCCTTTTGAGTAGTTAGTCATAGTGAGACCCAAACAGCTTTTTAATAAGCCTTTTAATAACCTTCTCTTATTTCAAATAAAAATAAGGGGAAAATCTGTAAAACCAAAACCAACTTTAAAACCGAAACCAGCCTGGTATCTTAGCTGAAGTCCCCCCCCACCCCCCACATTGCTGTCTGGGAGATCAAGGTTTAAATTCATATCCACGTATGTTTTCAAGCCAATATCAGCAGAAGCCACAAGTAGAACTTTTGAACCTTGCATTGTAAAACAGCAGAGCTGATGGAGACATGCTGCTAATTTTGCTTGCGGAGATGTTCCAGGATTTCTCAGAGAAAGAGGCAGGTTCCTAAGCTAACAGGTTGTAGCATTCCTAAGTCCCCACTAGTGATCTTGATTAGCTCTGCCAATTAATGATGTGGTCTTGAACATAATTATTAGTAGCGACGTGGCTTACACCAGCTAGCAGAAAAACAGAAGCATCCCCTTCCTCCCTCTCCCTACCCCGTGCTATTACTTGCTACAATAGAATTTGAGATGTTCAGTATTGGTAATAGAGAAACGAATGCATCAAATGAAAACTCAAGGGATATAAAAAGCCAACA